ACAGGTACTCTATTATTGTACAGAGGCTGTAATTCTCTAATCTACTGCAGCCTCCAGAACACAGCATGTGCTCCAGCCGGAGGACTGAAAGCAGGAACTCCCAAGCATGAATCCAGGCAGCCGCTCTAGGCTTTGGCTATTTGTGGAGTTGACCAAGACTCAGGATATAATGAGATATACCTTTGCCACAGCACTGACTTGGAGCCCTAGTGAGGTCCCCAGCGCTGCTTCTCTACCTGCCAGTTCCCTCCTCTTACAGAGGAATTTACATGGTTGTAATGACAGTTTTGTACTTTTTGAAAAATAACATCATCTACCCACCACATTCCCCTCAAAAAGAAAAGCAACAACTCCTAGTGCTGGTGCTGAAAAGAAGAGTGAGTGGAATAGTCTAACACTTGCCCCTTTCGCGGGGGGATTCATGCCTTGAGTGTATTTGTGAATTTGAAGATCGATAACAGTAAACATCGTGGAACTTGGACTGCGGGGAGGCGCACATTGGTGCTCACATGTGTTTTCTCATTTAATCCTTTCAACAAACCTAATTTTATGCTCCTTAGGCAGATGAAGAAACAGTTAAGAGACTCAGAGTTAAGGAATTTACCCAGGGTCACACACGTAGTAATGCAGAGACTGGCTCCAAAGCCAGCCCAGCTCCCTCATTCCAGAGCTGCAGTCTGAACCATTGCCTTCACTGCCTCTCCTGGAGAGATAAGAACACATCCTTAAAAGAAACCTGTTATCAGCCTGAATAGAATCTGTTGTGTCCCTTGGAGTCTAATCCTTTTGAGTTTGAATTGAGACTTTACTCAGGCGAATAACCTGCCTTTGGTTTTCCTTTCTATGACATTTTCTTTTTGACATATTTCTAAAATAAAAAATTGATCATCTCTCTCCAAGGTTCCTGTATGTTTAGTGCCTTTTTTCTTCTTACAATACAAGAAACCACTCAGTGTGAAACATGAGTTCCTGAGACCATGCCCAGGCTTGGTCCCCCTACCACCACCTCCCCACCACTCCTTCTCATGGGAATCCTACACAGTCTCTGAGCGAGCCAAGGTGGCCTGCTTCCCTCCCCACATGTGACCTCCCTTCATGAAATCCTGCTCATCCATGGAAGCCAGGTCAGCTTGGAGACAAACGGCATGAAGAGTGATAATGAGCATTACTATTATTTTAAAATAACAACTCAGTCCCAGAAAGTCAAAGGTTGAATGTTTTCTCTGATATTCAGAAGCTAATCCAAAATAGGGGGAGGGTAAAAATGTATAGATATTTTTTAATTTTTAAAAAAAACAAGAAAGGAAAAAACAAGTGAAGCCGGGCACGGTGGCGCACACCTGTGCAAGTTCAAAGCCAGCTTCCCCAACTTAGCAAGGTACTTAGCAACTCAGTGAGACCCTGTCTCTGAGTAAGATATAAACAAACAAACAAAAAAAAAAAAACAGTGGGGGGACTGGGGATGTGGCTCAGTGGTTAAACAACCCTGGGTTCAATTCCCAGTACAAAAAAAGGGAAGTTGTTCATCAAAATAGAGGAAAGATCAGTAGAGTAGATGAAGGGGATTGAGGAGAAAGAAGAAGGGACAGGAAAAGGGAAGAACAGTGGAATGGATGTAACTTAACTCCAAATGTGCATGCATAGATGTGTCCACAAGACACTAATTTAAAAAAAAAAAAAGAAAACTGTAAATGGATTGAAGAGGGATTGGTAGAGTGGAGGGAGGGTTGGGGAGAGTGCTTGGGACTGAATCAGAGTGGGTTGGGTGCCATGCTTTTGTGATTATGTCAAGGTATATCTGGTATTGTATCATGACTAAAAAGAATTTTTTAAAAAACGGAAAATAAATTTTCAAATATGAATTTCCATAATGTTCAAGAAGGAAAGATTAATTGAAAAGGTCTCAGCCTTTAATAAAACTATGTGATCAATAAAGTTTTCAATAGTAGATTAAAATTTAATTTCAGATTAGGAGAGAATATTTAATATCACCTCTAGTGTCTTTCTGTTCAACAATTCTAAATCTACCAGAAGGCCTTTACAGCAGTTTTCTCAAAGTGAAACAAATTCTACTTTGTATATCATCTCTTCATGTTTAATTATAAGGATTTGAATTTGAAGCACCAATTAATCAGTAATTAGATAGTACTGTACCAAAAGAAATTAAACAAAGATAAAAACAAATATACAACTCAGCAGAAGGCCATATCATGTGGTAACATTTCATGTAGCATGGTTAAAATACTCCCTAAGAAACACAGTTTATCTGGATCATTAGCCATGTATTCCTTTGATTTTGTTGTTGTTAGTGGCCACCAATGCATTGGGAAACTTAAAGGTACATCAATCAGATAGAGACGCACTCTGATTACACTAATGTTTATTCTTTTCATTCTTCATTGAAAATATGCTTTATAATACTTAATAATTATTAAATGTAATGATAGATTTTGACAATGCAAAATAAGTGCATATTTTATAATGATGCATTCCCCCACTGATCTTCATATTTTAAAAAATTCACATAAACCAGCTTTTAAATTTTATCAGACCGCTAAAATAAAAATGTTTACCTTATATGTAGAAAAATCAAGAAAAGATCCAAAGCAAATTGAGGAAGGAGGGAAGAAAAGGTCCCTAAAACCAAAATGTAGAAGAGGGAAAAGGCAGGCCTGTCCAGCAAGTCCCTTTAGGAATCAGGGGAGAAAGCAAGGAGACTGTCTCCTTACAAAATCATGTCTTTCCCCTGTACCAGAGTCTCACATCCTGGTTCTCAAACCTTTTGTTAGAGAATAAGAGATGGATGGACAGAGAAGTCAGCCTCTCCTATAACCTAGTCTTGGAATTACCAATGGAAGTACCTGCCCAGTGTACTTCACGCTGTTATGAACCTGGAGCTGGAGAAGCCCAGTGCTCTATATAGCAGTCCATCTAGTGAGCCTTTCTCCTTCAAGGTCTCCAGCTTTTTCATTCCCTCTGTGACCAGGACTGCATGAGAAACTGCGCCAACAAAACAGTCAGAATTACCTGAAGGTACTTTTCATTCTTTCCCTGGTACCATTTCAAGAGATTTCATTGCTGCAGGAAACTGGTGTCACCTGCACTCACAAGTAGCAGGATGTCATAAATCGCAGCTACTAGAAAATCTTAAATCATATGCCAGATAAATGAGCAGGGTTTCCTTCCTCTTAAGTGTATGAAATTGTCTCTCAAACTTCTGTGAAGGGAATTTCACTGTGCACTCTCAAGTTCACTTTAGAGAAGTATATTCAATTGCCAGCATCTGAAACAAGTAATTTGTCTTTTCATGCAACAGTTCCCTGAGAAAGAGCATAAGGTGCTTTGAGAAGAATTATAAAGGAAAATTTCAAAGCTTTCCATCTTTTTTTGGTACCTTGAGTTGAAAGAGTAGGCTTTGCTGAATAATTTAGTATCCAGGTGGATATCAGAGAGCCAACCTGGAATGATTTTGGTAACTTGATGAAATTAATTGAGCAGCTTCTCCATTTGGGAACCACTTTATTTTCTCCAGTTTTAAGAATTTCTCTCCACTACTGTGTTGTAATGCAATGGTATGAAGTTCTAAAAGTTCTTTGGTTTTATAAATTATACAGCACACCTGTGAATGAAAGCCACATTTGCTGAAGTGAGAATTCATTTGCAGATATGGCTTATTAATCCTCGATTGTGCTTCTTCAATTCTTCCCTAATTGGAAAATGTTCATCTCTCAGGAAGTGGTATAATTTATTTGATGTGAATGTACTACAAAATTTTTGCTCCTCGGTTTTCACTGTCTTATTGAAATCAGCATAAACAAGCTGAGTCTGACCACCATGACCATTACCTTATGAAACTTTATTCAGGGTTAACTGACCAAAATCAATGAACTAGAGCCACCTCTCCATCTCAGAGAATGATTACTAAGGGCTCTTCTCTTTAACAACATAGTAATTATTCCTGTGACCTATTCTTCCTCTAGCAAAGTGTAAAAAAGAAACAAAACTGAAGTTTAAACACCCCTATTGCATTTCTCCTCCTGTCTCATCTCAGTAAATGGCTAATGCTCAAGCCAACACCTGAAACCATCCAGTCTCTCTCATTTGCTCATCTCCCTACCCAGGGCAGCAGCCAGACCCACTAGGTCTCCTGCTGCTTCCCCTACCCTGGTCCACATCACCACTTTCTCTCATCTAAACTCCTAGCAATCATTTCCTAACTGCTCTCCCTTTTCTATTCTGCTTCCCCTAACGTCCATTCTTCATATGGCAGCTCAGGTATTACTTTACAAATATGAGTCATCTTGTGTCACTAGGCCTGCTAAAATTTCTTCCAGTGACTTCCCATTCCACTTAGAATAAAACTGAAATACCACCCTGGCCACCAGACCACACATGCATGACCAGCTCTGCACCAGTCTCCCCTTCTCACTGATGGGTCACTCTTGTGACTTACCACGAACCTTCTTGCTGCCTCACCTCCACATGGGCTGATACTTCTGCTCCGTGTGCACATCACCTCAGGACTAGCTCCTTCTGGCCTCCACACTTCACCTCATGTGTCACCTCCTCAGAGAGGCATTTCCTGACCACCTTAAGTGCAGCCCACACATTGTCATGTTCAGTTCTTCCCTTTGTACAGCCTGCCAGTGTCAGATGTTATTTTGTTCCTTTTGGTGGGTTTACCTACTAGTCATTGTGTTTCTTCCCACCAGCCTACGAGCTCCATGAAGGCAAGAACCTTGTCCCCTGTTCACCAGCTGTCACTTGTGCCTAGCCCATCAGCGCACTCAATAAATGTTGTGAGATGAACAACAGATGAAAGAATCCTTCTCTTCTTCATATGTATGACTTTGACCGAGTCATTTAACCTCTTCGCCTTCAGCTTCTTCATCCTTAAAATAATTTTCATGGAGATAAAAAAAAAAAAAAGGAAATGGGGTGGCCTAGCCCACAGTAGATGCAGAGTGACACGGTTAACAGTGCCCCATCCTGTCTTACAGGAAATCTTCAGAGGAACTGGACATGGACAAGGTGACAGCAGCGATGGTACTCACCAGCTTGTCAACCAGCCCTTTGGTTCGAAGTCCTCCTGTGCGGCCAAATGGTAAGCCTAGGGCGTGGGCTTAGGAAGTGTTCTTGCCACCAATGACAGGGCCTCTCTTTAAAGATTCTCCTTCCTCAAGTGAACAATTGATCGTGAAGGAGAGAAAAATGCAAAAGAAATAGAGACCCCGGGGCTATTGGCCTCCTCCACGTCTTCCTCCAAACCCCACTGAGTCTTGTCCTGCACCCATTCACCTCCCATTGACACATCTGGCCTCCACACTTCACCTCACACGTCACCACCTTTCTGCCGTGTTTTCCAGAACCTTTCTTTGCAGTACTTGGGTTCCTTTTTCCCAGGTAAATGAAGATTGGCCTAATAAAGTCATTCTCCCTAGCATTATTTCTATTTGATGGGGAGGTAGTTGGATTAAAGAACTCGGTGAAGACTAAATATTATTTAAAAGCATTATTCCAGAGACTCCTGAATCAAACAGGATTATCTAGTCCACTCATTAATTTTATATTTATCAGGTTCCATCTGGATGATTTGAATACATCATTGGAAAATAGTGTCCACACTTCCAGATAGTACACAGTCTCTTTGGGGAAACAGACTATCAATCATAGCCACATTAATGGTAACATTTATTTATTGAGCATTTACTGTGTGCCAGGTACTATGCTTACTTTATCTCGCGTAATTCTCCAACAATTCTATGTGATGTTGTTATCACTGTTTTACAGATGAGTGAACTGAGGTGCATAGAGATTAATTGGCTTGTAAATGGCAGAACTGAAATTCTGTCCCTATCTTTCTGATTGCAGATCCTGCTCTCTTAATGATAATATAATAGTTTTGCATCATAAAATACAGCATGATAAATCAGGAGGACAGGCAGTGGGCAATGGAGTTGGATAGATGAACCAGGAGCTTTACCCTGATGGGTCATGCCTACCTGGCTAGCAGTTGGGACTTTATACTGAGACTGTAAGAGCTACTAAGTATTCAGAGAGCAAAAAGATAGGGTCAGGATTACAGAAAAATAATAATAAGCCATACAATACACATAGGTGGCCAGAACCTTGGTGTTCACAGTGCAACTGAATGAGACACAATTGAAAAAGTGAAATAATGGAGAATCAACAGAAAGGATGAAGGACAGGATGTGTCAGGGATGACTTCCAGGCAGATGGTGTGCTTCAGCAAGGGATAAGGAACAAAGGCAGAGAAATGGATTTATTGGTGAACGTTTAAGGTAAGAGATGGTTTTGCTGAAGATGATAGGCTGTCCCAGACATGCTTCAAAATAGACCTAAGATCACTGCACAGGCAACAGCTGGTGAAGATCTGGGTGTAGCCTTGGGAGTGAGATCTGCACTGTTGGTATAGAATTAGAAGGTAATGTGTTGAAGCGGTGAGTCAACACACGGTTAACACACAGTTCTCTCTTGAAAGAACTGTATAGAAGCAAGCCCCATGATGAGGCTGCCATCATGTAAAAACTGGCAGAGGAAAGACAGCCCAGGAAGAGACTAAGGAGTGACCAGAGAGGTAGAGAAAAACCAGGAAAGTGAAGTTTCATGGAAGAGCATGTTTCAAGGAGAGATGGCCAATGCTTCCAAGGGTCAAGCATAAAAGGGACTGCATTCTGCATCAGGAAAATGTCACTGGCAGCTCTGACAAGAACATTCACAGGGAATTACCCATGGGAGGAAGCCAGATTTCTGTTCGCCAAAATGTAACATACTGAGTCCCCCAAATGGTATTTAATAGTGACAGAAAAACCAGCAAAGTCAATTATGAGATGGAGCTATGGTTCACATACAGTTTGGTTGTAAACTTGAGGTGTTCATATAAATTTGTGGAACATCCACTCAGTCCTCATCCAAATCTATTCCAACCCCATTAGAAGCAGAAAGAACTTTTAAGATACTGGGAGTTCAAATATTGGAGTTAATAAATGCCCAGAAGCTTGCTTCACTGTAACCTGGGTGACTCCCCTTAGGTACTGGAGGAGGCCAGGTTCTCTTGAGATTAGGCTGGCCTCTCTGGTTGGTTCAGTGAAATGACTTCTCTCTGGGGGGCCTCTTGGCAAAAAAAGAATCCTGATTTTGCCTTTCTCAGTCTCTCAGTACTGGAAAAGAAGTATTATACTAAGAGCAAAACTAGAGGCACCCCCACAACATATTTTAGGGGAAAAGGTGGAATCCTTTATGAGAAAAAAGATATATTTTAAATTGATCATTATTTTTACCATTGGATTTTTTAATAGAGAATATTTTTAGTGCTCCTTTGTATTTAAAGGTTAGAATTAAAATAAACCTTTTGATCCTTCAATGCAAACTTCTGTTAGCAATAGTAATAGAGTAACTCGGTGTTAGTTTATGGTTTAAAAAAAAATACCTACTCAACTAATAACCCCAAATTGTCTGATATCTCTCATTTAGTCTGCAACAGGAAACACATTTCTAAATAAGCATTCATTTTTAGGAATTAAAAAAAAATGTTCTCCAGAGTTATTGTATATCAGTGAATTTTTGGAAACTGTTGTGATCCTTTCGTTGTCTGACAAGGATCATTCTATCAAGAGGTGGGTTTGCAAAGAGGGTGTGAGTCCAGCAGTGCCTGTCTGCATTCTTGGCAAACACTTGTATAAGATATAGAGACAACTGCCCAGTAAGAAAACAGTGAATCAGTTCTGACTTGTTCTGAAATATTCAATTCTGTATCATTTTTTCCTTCGGATTTAATAGTGTTCCTAAAGGAAATATCACTCACCGATAAGCAAATTAACTTTTGGCAATGATGTGAAGCAATGTAATCACAACCATATTAATAGTTCTCAAAGTAAATTCAATTCCTCACACTTAACGTGATTACACATCTAGCACCATGAACTTGATTCTGTTGTACAAGTGCATACTGGGGTGTGTTTATTAGGCACCTGGACTTTCCAAGTGAGGTTTTTCACACCAAGCAACATCACCTATGGCTGTCCATGGGCTCCCCTTGACGTGCTGTTATCCTGAATGGAGCTTTCTTGATGATAACCACTAAGGTTATCGGTCTGTTAGAATATAGGGAGTGAGATGATAATTTGGCTTTTCTGCTGGCAGGGTGTGAGACTCTATAAATGACCATTTGATTTTAGCACCTTATTATAATGAACTGGGCCACTTCATTTTCATTTTAAAACATCATGCCTTTAACTAAACTTTTTGCTTGACATAGTTAAGGTATATGCTGGAAATCTATAATTAGATAAGGTAGTTGAGTTTCTCCATGAATGCTAGTCTTGACTTCATTACTAATTATACAGACATTAATAGTATTTTTTAATGAGGCATTTGGGGATTTTTTTTCCTCCTTGTAGTTAGAATAGTATGGTTTTAATATATTCAAAATGCACATAAATATGGAAGAGAAGTTATCCAGAAAGAAAGTAGAATTCATACAAATGCTAATTAAGATTGGGCATTTTGAGAAGTAAAGCAAACCTTCCGTGATTAAAAACACCCTCTCCATTAGCAAAACCTTCCCATAGTGTTTTCCACCACAAGAGGAACGGTAAAATTAAACACTAATCTTATCACTTATTATTGCCAATTCTTACCTGATCCCAGTTTGCCAGAGAAAATATAGGACATGCATAGGATTCACATGCACTCATTAAATCAATGACTAGGGCTTGGACCCCAGACCCACCAGGATCACACTTCCTAGTCAAGTGGCAAGTCATTTAACTTCCTGCTGCCTCAAGTCCTCGTTTGTAAGATTGGGATAACCTTTCCTCTGAGAGGCAGATGTAACAGTGCTTGAGCCTTTGCCAGTGAGCTTTGGTGGTGATTGATTGGTACTGGTGATTGAACCCAGTGGGGCTTTACCAGTGAGCTACACTCCCAGTCCTTTTTATTTTTTATTCTGAGACAGTATATCTCTAACTTGCTAAGGCTGGCCGGGAACATGCAATCCTCCTGACTCAGCCTCCCAAGTTGCTGGGATTACAGGCAAGTGCCACAACACCTAGGATGCCAGTGCACTTTGTAAGATGTAAAACACACAGAGAATGTAAGGAACTCTTATTTGACAGCTTGAGAAATGGCTTTAGGTAACTACCCAAAAATAATTATTTCTTTTAGAATCTTAAATCATAAACTGACTTCCTATAATGTATTCCTAAAATCAACAATTTAATGAGTCCTTCCTTCTTAAAAAAATTGGGATGAGGTGGGGGGGGGAACTGTGTGACCAAATAATTTGGGAGAATTCTGTAAATAATATCCCTCCCAGATATACTGCAGTCCATAAACCCAGAGCTCCCCAAACTTCATGAACAAGAAAAATCTTTTTTTTTTCCCCACACAATCCCAAGGAACTAGTGCTGCCCATCAGAGAACTCAGAAGAACCTATTTCGTCACATGAGTAAAATAACTAAATGTTTATAAACTATAACGTGACTGGGGGAGGGAGGATATACAAATAGGATAAAAACTTACATGCCCACCTGTTGTAAATTACTGAGCGGGATGGCCAACAGCACCTGGCCCCGCGGAGCAGCCCCACTGACGTGCGTTTGTGTGCCTGCAGAGGGCCTCAGCGGATCCTGGAAAGAGGGCGGGTGCGTGCCCTCCAGTACCAGCAGCAGCGGCTACTGGAGCTGGAGCGCCCCCAGCGACCAGTCCAACCCGTCCACACCGTCGCCGCCGCTGTCCGCCGACAGCTTCAAGCCCTTCCGCAGTCCCGCACAGCCGGACGATGGCATTGACGAGGCGGAGGCCAGCAACCTGCTCTTTGATGAGCCCATTCCCAGGAAAAGAAAGGTGGGTGTGCCGCCGGAGCGACACTGAGCATGGTCAGGGTGCTAATCTCGCCTTGCTTCCATGGCCTCAAGCAGACTGCCTTCCCCTTTAATGGACTTAGAAGTTCCTAAGTAAACTTGTCTCGGTTAAAGACAAAAATAACTGAAATATCGATATGTTACATGCCCCATCTTCTAGGTCTTACCGGTATTTGAAGTTAGAAAACGGACTTAAACGTCATTTGTTAATTGGTTCACTCTCTTCGTGAGAATAATTTTTTTTCATATTGTAAAAAAAAAGAAAAAAATTGTTAATATCTTTTTCTCTTCCCTGCTTCAATCATCCCTGAAGGACTGTTAGGAAGAATACTTTGTATCTCATTTTTGTACAACCAGATGTGAAATATACGTGAAAGCTGACATAAAACATATGCATATTTTACTTACTGAAAATCACCACTAAACAAAAATTTAAAAGGAGATCTAATTAATCAATAAAATAAGTTAATTGGTTACATTTTTATTTAGTCCTCGCTGCAGTCCTGTATGGTAAGCCTATGGAACTTGGGCATCAGGGACTTCATATATTTATCTGCCCCTGTTGGAATGGGCCAGAGCCCCCAATCAAACCCAGATCTTCCTGAACATAAAGCTCATATTCTTTTCGTTCTCTTCAGCTACATTTAAATTATTAATTTTGCTCACAGTTTTTTTTAAGAAGCATTTCTATTTCATGGAATAACAGAAGAATACAGCTAAATGTGGAAAACATTTTGACATCATATTATTTTAAGTTATCATGTCATTAAGAAGCTGGTTTTATATATTTGTTTTTAAATTTGTATCAGTAGTGTCATTATTAATGACTATCCACAAAAATCCAGGGCAAAGCCTTAAGGAGTACAATGCATACCTTTTTTTCCTCCCTGATTCATTTCCAAAAGGCAAACAAGAGATGGCATTGGTCCAACCCCTTCCCTCTGGCATCTCTCAGCGTTGCTCAGCATGTGTGGCAGTGGAGGTGGTACAGGAACTGTCTCTGGCTGTGTAAAGGGGCGAATAAGGGCCAGCTTTTTTGGTTCAGATAAGAGGACATCAGTGTAGCCTTCTGTCATTCCCAGAGGCAAAGGCCTAAAGAGTTGTCATTACACCCTAGTTTATCATGTAGCAGTGGAGTCATTCTGGCATCCTGTGGGCTCTGGGGATGCTGGCTCTCATTGACCTGTCAGAGAGAACACTGGCACTTGCATCCAAGGGTACCTCCTGGCAGGACAGTATCTGGGACCTGAAGTTTTGTCTACTGTTTGGGCTGCCCAGGTTTCTCTCTGGAGGTATCTGAGAGTGCAGTCCTGACTCTCATCAGTGCAAGAACTCACAGCACAGAGAACCACGAGTGCTTTCAAAGTGCATTGCTGAGAGCTGGCATAAACTTAGTTTCTTAAGTATCCACTGAGCCACACTTTATACTCTTGCATTGCATTTTGGTGGCATTTGGTCACTTGTATTGAAGATCTGCAAGTTTCGGCTAAATTAGGGAATAGTCAAGTCCCCAAAGGAAAAGAAAAGCAGCTTCAGTACAAGATGACATTTAGTTGAAGGGCACAGGCCTCCTCTGTAAGGAGGTCTGAATGAAAAAAGTGAGAAACATGTTTATCCTTCTTTATGACTTCTCCCTCAATTCGATAGGAATTGATCTGATTTTTAATTCTAGGATCTTACATAGATCAAGTTGTTGTCTTGATCTTTTGGACTTAAAAAAGGATATTGGAAAAAAAGTAATTTTATTTATTTTTTTTAATGTGGTGCTGAGGATAGAATCCAGTGCCTCATGCATGCGAGGCAAGCGCTCAACCACTGAGCTACAACCCTAGCCCTTAAAATTACTTTTAATAGTGAAAACAGCAGGAATGTGGTACCATTGGTTTTTTAAAATTTTATTTAGTGAACCAACTTTTATGGGGTACCCATCAGGCAAAATGCTTCATGTCCTGAGAATAAGGTTTAGCTCCTTCCTTCAAGAGTTGAAAGTTGCTGGGGATGTGGCTCAAGCGGCAGCGTGCTCGCCTGGCATGCGTGCGGCCCGGGTTCGATCCTCAGCACCACATACAAAGATGTTGTGTCCGCCGAGAACTAAAAAATAAATATTAAAAATGTCTCTCTCTCTCTCCCCCCACTCTCTTTAAAAAAAAAAAAAAGAGTTGAAAGTTAAGTGGGTAGGAAGTGAAGTGTCCAGAGGCAATAATAATGGTACATGATCAATACTGTCTTAACGATGTGGTAGAACAAAGAAACTAATACAGTGATTTCAAAGCATTTATATTTTCTAAGAGTTAAACATATTAATTTGCTTGAACTAGACAACATGTCCTAGCTGGTGGAACTCTCTGAGATCAATTTATATTCCTGTGTATTTACTCAGATTCGTAATATTCATTTGAAACCATGATCAATTGTAACAATCATATATATCCTATGGAAATTGAGAACTTTCTAGATCAGGTTCTTCCAAATTGCAAGTCTTAATTCCCTAGTAGGTTGTGAATTGATTTGATGAGTTGTGAATAAGTACTCTTTAATTAACAGGACAAACTAGAATATACTATGTATAAGGGTCAGGATGTTTTCATTTCAGTCCTATATTTGTGTGTGAGTGTAGTCTGCAAAATGTGTTTCTTACTGTAGCTTATTGTCAAAAAAAAAGTTGAGAAGCTGCATGTTCTGTGTTACAAAGAAGTAATATGATATATGATAAATTAACATGCCCTCATCAGAAAGCAAAAAATTCCATTTTCTAAACTGAACTTCACTACCCTGAGAACCTAAGAAAATCTCCTTCCCTCTCGGATCATCAGCCTCTTCATCTGTAAAACAGATGAGGTATTAATCACACCTCTCTGGAGACATTCACAAAGGTCAAATGTGAGTATAGTTCTGGGATGAGGCAACATTTTAACAGACCTTGTAGGACTTTTAACAAAGCAGGAGGAATTCCCTATGTCTGAGTATGACTTGTGGTTATGGAAGCTGCCTAATCCCTCCTCCCATCTCTCCCCAGAGCATACACTCACTGCCTCTTCTGGAGATCTGTGTTCCACTTTATGTAAATGAATTAAGAATACTCAGTGCACAGCGCAGATAAGGCATTGCCTTTTACTATGACTAAGAGATACATTTTCTAATAATCACATTTCATGCTTTGTTACATGTTTATTTTTAGTTACAGTTTATCAAATACTTTTAAATGTAGCATTTCATTTTATCACACCAAAAATCTTTGGTATACCCTTATCCCATTTTACAGAGGAGGCTCCTTGATGTCACATGAACTGTCCAAGTTTGTATAGCTTATAACATGGCAAAAACAAGATCAGCTTAGCTGAAAGAACAAAGAGGAAACTCTGCAGGCAGATTAATTGGAAGGATCAACATTTCCCTCTGTCCACAGAGGAAAACAACATGGAGGGGAAATAATCAAACAAGGCTACATGGCAAGGTAGGAGCAGGGTGCAGAAGGTTCAGAGAAAGGAAATCGGGCTACCTCCTGGGGAATTTACTTCCTCCTGAAGCATCCGTTCCTCTTAAGAGGACCTGCAGCCAAGGGAGGCAAGAATGTGTGAAGGGAAAGTCTGTTCTCCTGGCTCTGTAGGTGAGTCAGCCAACTTTTTCCTGGCCAGTTCTAGCAGAATTTTTCCTTTGTGATTTCAGATGGGGCCCCGAGAGCCAGGACTCTGAGACTTTGGGGAGTTGCAATTCCTGTCATGACCACAGGGTGATGCAGTAACCCTAAATACAGCTACTGATTACCTCGAAAACAAATTCTATGGAAAGCTAAGAGTTGACCTTCAATTCCGAAAGACCCATAGAAAACCCAAAGTGCTGATAGTTATTTATGTGCTCCTTTCCATACCTGACTCCTTATTCTGTCAGGTTCTGTGCCTTCTGAAAGTGGCATGACAACTCGAGTATTTCTGTGACCTTAAGCAAATCACTTGGCCTCTCTCAGCCCCAATTTCCTCATCTATCAAATATGGATAACAGTAGTACCATGTCTGTGGGCTCTTATGAGGATTACATGAGAGATGTGTAGATCAATAAATGTTAGCCCCTAATCTGTGCTCACCTTTTTATCCACTTGACAACTGACTGGGAAGGCCCCTTAAGCTGAGTGAGGATAGCAATGACAGTGGCAGAAATTAGAGCATAATACAGAACCTGACTCAGGATTCAGCCTTCCTCATTTTCACTTATTTCAGATATCTTGACCATGAACAGTTTTACCTATGTATTGAGGAGAATTTCAAGTCAGAGCAGAAAGCGCTGAGTTAACATAAGGTGCTTCAATAACAGCTGTACAGCAGTACATGGGGGTGGGGATTCGTCATTTGCCACACTCTGCATTTTCAATCTTTCAGAACCAAAAAGCAATGAATCACTTTAAATTGTGAATGATTGCTCCAAAAAAGAAAACAAACTGATAAAAACCCTCGCAAATAAGCGTGTTGCCAGTTTCTCCGCTGAGTTAATTCCTAACCCATTAATTTTGAGCAGAGAGTGCCTCTCTCAAGAAGTGCTGCTCCAGAAATAGACCCACTGTTCCAACTGCTGGCAACTGCTGGGAGCGCGGGGCTCCCAAGAGCAGCTTGGGGTCAACCGTGCAATTTCACTGAGCTGACACAGCATTGTCAGCCAGGGCAGCCAATTGATTGGCTCATGAGAGGACCAAGGGAAAAGAAGAGTGAGGTGTAGGCCTTTAGTGACCAGCCATGTGGTATTTAAGACCCCAGCAATGGAGTTCCAAGGACTTCCAGTATCATCTAACCCAGCCTCAACCTTTCTACATTAGAGGACCACTACATCTTATCTAGACGTGTACAGGTGAACCCAAAGATGAGTTGCACTTCTAGAATCCATTGATTGAGAATATATGGAATGACTGGGGATTTCTATTAATTCACGAATCCATTTGTTATTACAGAAATCATTTTAAATCATTCTTATTAAGGTATAATTTCTATAGAATAA